AAATATGCGTGTACGTTCATAGATGCAATAACTCATATCAGCGAGAAACGATGTGCACCCTGAATAAATTCACCTAGAAGACCGATGGTTGAGGAGCTTGTGAATGATGACTCAAAATCTCGGAGTTATTATGACTACTTTAGATTATTTTAGATCCTTGCAGATCATTTTAGGAGGTCCAGAAAAATCTCGAGCACGTGCGGTGAGCACAACGTCTGGGTGCACTTTTGAGCCTGTCGTCCCTTTGAGGTCTGGGCAAGGAAGGACCCGTTAAGCGGAAAAACTCTTCCACCCTTCTTCGGGACTGGTGAGCATATCGGAACAACCTGACCCCTTGGATCTGATAACCACCCGTCCCCGCTCTGCCTAGCATGAACTCCACTGAACTTGATGGACACCTGTAACGTGGCAAAATTCGATACATTCATGTTTCGGGCTCCCCGGTAAGAACGTACCTTTAAGGTGAAGTGAAACCCCTCTCAAATCAGTCGATTCACATACAACACTTTTTTTCAAGGGTATTAGACCAAACTGCCCGAAACTTTGACACATCACTCCTGATCATCTAAGAATTGTCCTGACACATTGAAAATTTGGATTTTTCTAAAAAATTCTTTAACTCAGTCCAGACCAGAACCAAAATGGCGTCGAGCTCTCATATTTCGATCAATATACAATTATCGAAGGCTCCGATATGAAAAACGAAAGGGTCAGGACAATTTTACGACAATTTCGAACACTCTGGTAATCGATAAACTCGCATTTGAACGGGATAAAGGCAAAAAAAGTGTTGTATGCGCTTCTATGCTAAAACGGTGGGAATACGAGGTCTCGGGGTGAAAATTTAATTGACCTAGAAATCACAGATGGCACAGGGGGTCCCTCTGCAATCAATTAGGGCCGCAGAAAGCATGAATCCAGAGGATTTCTAGAGTTTTACATCGATCTTTTTGTAATTATTGTACGAAAACGACAGGTGGAGTATGCCATTTGGTACAATACCCAATATAATTAGACACAGCTGTCAATATAAAAACGAACGTCAGCAACGTAGGCTTTAGAAAAATCTTCTTCATCGACGTCGATCAAATTCCTCGATGTGTTTCACTTCACCTTAAGGCGACGTGAGACCTCTCATTTTCGAGCCTCCTCCAAATTGAGCGTACTACATCCGCTGAAGCTTCACCACGTGCCTTTAAAGTCCCTGAAGAAAGTCTCGACATTTCACTTTGTGGTAAAAAAAAAAAAAAGTGAAATTGTTTGCGAAGAGGTAAACAAAAATATTTGAAATTCCACGGGCGAGCGACCTGCCTGAGGGCCTTGGAATTCCTGTAGAAAAATTCTCGAGACCATTAGGAACACCTAGGTCGGAGAGGTTTCGAAAACGGGACACCTTTTGGACGCCACCTTCGCCCCGCCTTAACCTGCATCGATCGTCGAGGAGCCCCCAGGGGACAATTCGGGAACTCGTAAGACCCCTCCAGGAACATCGGGCATTAAATTCCGTTTCGTTGCAGATTCCTGCAAATCCCCCGGCGAGTCCACGTCACCTTAAGTCCGCTTGTCGGGCCGAGGATTTCCTCCCTCCCTTAATCCGGGGCTTCTTGAGGCTCCCTTAATTCGAGCCGTGACGAATCTCCGAGCGATTCTCGCCTGCAAACCGCCATTACGCGCCCACCTCCCGGAAATGCATCCACCTGCGGACACCGATGGCCGTGGGAGATGCCGATGCACCACCACACCCGAGGTGCAATTTCTTGCCGATCGCGTGATACGTGCATGGACATGGGTGGTAGAATTCGACGTCCGACACGTCAGCTCGTCAGGGCCGAGGAAGGCACCGCCACCTGAAAATCGCGATACCAGACGAACCTGTTCGACCTAACAGGTGATTACAACGGATCGATTGATAAGGCCGGTTTCGATGGACGTCTCATTGAGAAAAGAGTTTTGAGTAATATGCACCCCCGGGAGCAGAGAAACGGGCGACAGTCATTGCACCAAAACGAAAATCGTCGAACCAAAGAAATAATTCTTTAAATAGTACCAAAGGAATATTGTATTAATTGAAGGAATAATTATTTCACTCAAATTAACTGGAATAAATTGGACCCAACGTTTCCTTGGAATTGCGACAATTTATTTCAGTAGAATAATTAATTCTTTGGTTCAATTATATTTTTTCCCTTCTCAGGGTAAAAGAGATATGATATATACAGACCGCGATAGTAATGTTGAAATGATTTTTGTACTAATTGATGGCGACAGGATATGACCGATCAGGCGAGGGAAGTGGGAATCAAGATATGGAGTACAGAAAAATCCGGAAGAAATTCCCCTCCACCCTTTCCCGGGTTTTCGCTGGGTCCCTTGTGGCTCGAAATTGGAGCGAACGATTTCCGATGTCGGACGCGAAGGAAATAATTTTCGTGAGGAAATAAATTAGCCAGTTCAGGGAAAACCTAAAGCACCTCGAGAACGAGGGAACAGGTCTAATTGAATCGATACGAGCGGAGACAAAGAAAGGAGTTTACTCCGGGAATTTTGAGCAGTTACTCCCGAGCTACAATTCGGCCAGATGAAAATGGGCAAAACGAGGGAGAGCCGAATGAAAAGAGAGACAGCGAGGAAATGTTCTGGGGAAAAAGTGCACGGCAGTTCCCGGCAGGACTCGGAGTGGTCCTGGACGCAGTTCGGAACTAATTCAATCCGGTTTGTGGTAGCGGCGATGATTAAGCGCGCTTAAGAAAAGCAACTTTCAGCCGGCCACCAAACAGACCGGCCGACAAAAAAACGCGTAATGGAGTATAAATAGCGCAGGAAATCCGCCGGCAAATTACATCTCTCGTCCTCCTCTCTTCAGCGCCCTCGAGAGCTTTCGAATACGAGGTCGAATCTACTCGATCGCCATTATCTCATAAAAACCCTAGGATCAAGGAAAAACCACTCATCAGAGAGTACACCTAACTCTAGAGAAAATGTGGCGAGAAAAAAAATGGCAAATCGCAAAAAATAACGGTTGGCAGGAAAAAGAAAAATTGGGGACTCGCGAAAAACGGCGACTCGAGGCAAGGTCGGTGGATTAATTAAATCAAGTAAGAGCTCGCCGAGAAATATCCCGAAGCTCGTTTTCCTAGCGAGTTTCCCTCGGCAACCCTTCGGCGAGCGGAAGTGGGGGGCGCGCAATCTAGCTCGGCGGAAATGCCAAAAACGGGGGAAGTTGCGACCCGGGGAAAATGGCGGAAGAGCGAGCGGAGGGAAAAAATAGATTAGCAGACGCCGACAAGATCGGGCCGAACTTTGTTCGGGACTAATTCAATCCGCTGCGTCGCAACGGCGACGATTAAGCCGCGTGTTAAGCCGAGTTTCAACATGGCGGGACCGCCGAAACCTGGCGTCCTGATTTGCGGCCGGTTGGAAATTAACGAGCGTGTTTGTTCGCACGCGGCTCGTTTGTACCCACGGTCTCAAACTGCAATTTGCCGCTCCGCCGGAGACGGGCCCTGAAACGAGGAAATCTACCTTCGACCTCTGTCCCGGGAAAGAGCGATCGGGAGATGGAGTCGTTACCGTTGACTTGTGTCGAACGAGAGCCGCGAATTTCGAATCCCGAGTCACTGACCGCAAATATTGAATCGCGAATTTCGAATCGCGAGTCATTGACCGCAAATATTGAATCGCGAGTCATTGACCGCAAATATTGAATCGCGAAATTCGAATCGCGAGTCATTGACCGCAAATATTGAATCGCGAAATTCGAATCGCGAGTCATTGACCGCAAATATTGAATCGCGAATTTCGAATCGCGAGTCATTGACCGCAAATATTGAATCGCGAAATTCGAATCGCGAGTCATTGACCGCAAATATTGAATCGCGAAATTCGAATCGCGAGTCGCGGGTCGCGAATTGCAAATCATTGATGGCGAATCACTGATTGCGAATTTCGAGTCGCGAAGTGCGAATCACTGATGGTGAATCACTGATTGCGAATCTCAAGTTTTTAATTGGTATCACCGATGGCGAATCACTTATCGGGAATTTCGAATCGCGAATCTTGAATCGCGAATCGTGAGTCGCGAATTGCGAATCACTGATGGTGAATCACTGATTGCGAATCTCAAGTTGCGAATTGGGTATCAGTGATGGGGCATCACTGATCGGGAATTTAAAATCGCGAATCTCGAATCGCGAATTTCGAATCACCAATCTCGAGTCGCAAATTGCGAATCTCATGTTGCGAATTGGGTATCACTGATGGCGAATCACTGATCGGGAATTTCAAATCGCGAATCTTGAATCGCCAATCTCGAGTCACGAATTGCGAATTGCGAATCACTGATCGCGAATTTCGAATCGCCAATCTCGAGTCACGAATTGCGGATCACCGATGGCGAATCACCGATCGCGAATTTTGAATCGCCAATCTCGAGTCACGAATTGCGGATCACTGATGGCGAATTTCGAATCGCGAATAACGAATTATAAATTGCGAATTATGAATCTTCAAGATCCAAGCGCGCCGGGCAAATTATCTTAATCGTCCCATATCCTTTGAGAGACGTTAATGGCGCCGCTCGTAATCTTTGCGTTCACGTCGGCATCCTTTTTTCGTTCCCCGTCGTCCGACGTCCGTTAAAACTCGACGGACGGATCTGACCGATCTAGGTTTTTGCACGTCTGCCTAGAACGGGCAGGGTAATTTTTCGCAACCGTTCAGCGGCACACATGGAATCGGCGTGAAATCATCGAGGAAAGAAATCACATCCTTTGAGTAATGAGTAAGTTCGGTCCCGGTCCCGATCTCGAGGTTGCAAAAAGTGCAAGACCGAGACCAAAACCGATTTTGGTAATCGCCATGCCTGACCATTCTGGAGTGTCCTAGGGAGTCGGTAGATCTCTCAGACCCTAGACAAGATCCCCAAGGACCTCAAATCCTCTTCCTCGGGAGAATTCGGGGTTGAAATAAATATCCGAAGCTGCTAGATCTGGACCACCTACCTTCTTCGCCGAGTAGAGCTTGCGACCCTGCAGCAGCATGTAAGTCTTGCGCCAGGAATTGGACTCTTCATCGCGCATCCAAACGGTGCTGAACACTTGGGGGCACTCGCCATCGTCGCGCGCCAAGTAGGCCTAAAAATAATAAATATAACCATCCAGCATTATGGATCGAATGCATATTGCATTGCGATATGTCACCGCGTCAAAGTTCGATATTTTAAAAAATTTCCCACTCACCCTGAGAGCGCTTTCGACCTCGCTGATGGCTCCCCGGTCTTCGTCGTTGGGGAAGGCGACCATGTCCGTGGGGAAGAATTGCTGAAACGGAGAAACGTAATGAATTTAATTGCCACTGAAACTACAATTACCACCCTGAGAAAAATATTTCCTTCGGTTCAATGAATACTTTTCCTATTGAGTTAACGAAATATTTCTTTGGTTCAATGTCATTTCTTTTCTCAGCGCAAGAGAGAACCAACCCAACATCGTAACAGAGAAGTTTACCACGAATCGGTACGCGCAATTGCGTGCATACATATAGGCCGATATTTACACGGGCGACGTTTCGGAAATATTTCCGCCCGTGGCGGAATTCCGCAGCCCCTTCGAGCGGCACCCATTACCTCCGAAATATTAGCCGGCAACAATAGGCCGAGCTGGTGGCAACGAACAGGGGTAAAAGGGAAAGAGACACAAGAGAAAATATATTCCTTCTCGTTACAACGGGCGGCCCGGTGCGCACGCGCTTCCGTTAACGATTGGCGCGGTGCTTAGCGGTAATTGCTATTGGATGAAGGAAAAAGTGCCTGCAACCGCATTGAGCGCAATGCACGATGCCGGTGGGCGTGGCGGGAATAAATGGATTCAAATGACGGGTTAAAGTCGCCGAAGTCGAAACTCATTGACATCGTGCCGGTGTCTCGCGATCGGGGTATCATTGCGACCCTCGAGCCGCCATATAAAAAAAATAATCTGACTTTAAAAAAAAAAGAAGAAAAAAGCAGGCGAAATAACGAGTAACAATGAACACCTATGCCGAGGCCCGACGTACTCAATTCAATCCAAAAGTAAATATACAAAGTGAAATAAAATGAACAATAAAGTTTCACGTCAAAAGCGGGAATTCTAATAGTGGGATTCATTTTCTGAAAAATTCCTCTTGGTCTTGCAAAAAGTACACAACCATGATTATCTTGGCCCTGAACTTGCAGTTACTCATGAGTAGGTTGGACTCCCGCGCTGGCTCCCCTCACCTTGAAAACCATCCACCTGTCGTCCCGAGGGAGAAGATGGAGCGAAACAGGGCGGCGAAACGGGGGGAGCGAAACGGTACGTCTTGCTCCCTCCGTGTCTCTACAGGGAGTGAACGCGTTTGGTGAGAAGGGCGCAAAACGAAGACGGACAACGGTAGGGGGCGACGCGTTGGGGGGGGGGGGATTTCCCTGCAATTAAGGAAATGAAAATCCGCGAGCGTCGGGCCAACGAAGTATCGGTGATACTAATTGGTAATACCGCTAATTGAAGCGAGATGCCGTTAATTAGACGCCGAATCGAGGCGAAAAGCGAAGGAGCGCGACCGAGCTTTCGTGTAGGTGTCGCACAGGGCGCGACGCGTCAACGCATCGAGGATGAACATCGGCGCGATAAGCGGTGGTTTTGATTAGAGAAGACATTACTTCTCAACGACAGAATATCGCGGGAAGGGAGCAGCAAATTATTTAGTTCTTCCAGAGATCTTTCGGATTTCCAGATTTTCAGATTCGCGAGTCCACGCGAAATCTTGGGAAATATGGTGCAGAGATGAGTTGGGAGATTGCTCACGGGTAGGATCGTGCGATCGCATCCTGTGCTGCCCTCTGGTTTCGTACGTTAGCTTTCACCGTTTTTTGCNAAACGGTGAAAGCTAACGTACGAAACCAGAGGGCAGCGCAGGATGCGATCGCACGATCCTGCCCGTAAGCAATCTCCCAACTCATCTCTGTATGGTGGTAGGGAGGTTTATGGAACTTTCGTTGTCCGTGGAGAACGTGCGGAACACGGGGACGCACGTGACTCGCAGACCGAGCGGGATGAAATAAAGGGAAAAAATTGAATTTCCCAAATTCGAAATTGCATTGCAGGGCACGCGAATTCGATTTCGGAACGACCTTTCCGGCCGCGGGTATGTACGCGCCGAGGATTCGATCAATATCCATCCGTCAGCCGTTTTGAGGTGGAGGTACCAGTAGCGCCATCGAGGCGGGCGCTCGAGGAAACTCGTAGCCAACCATGTCGGTAAAGTAGCGACTATACGCCAACCTACCCGAACGATTCCAAAACCCGACAGAGGTCTATAATGCGTACCGAAAGGAAGATTGAATATTCATTCTTGAATATCTACCTTACCGACCTGTGAGCCCACCCCCGGTAAGGAAGGACGCCATCGATAAAAGCCAGCTCTTATCCTCCAAGAGATTCTCGGTAAGTACTCAACAGCACTTGCAACCAGTAAACGAATCCGTTGGTACGCTTACTCAACCGTCGATAAAGTAGATATTTCCCTCGCGTACCGAAAGGTCTGCACCGCTTACCTTTGGGTTGATAAAGAACTCGTACTTCAAGAAGTCCTCGCGGAAGAAGAACTTCCTTTCGTGATGTGACGCAAAAGTCTCCATTTCTCTATGAGCAGCCAGAATGTCCTCGTGATCCTCCAAAGTGCGCTCTGAAAAATCGAGTCCCAATGGAATACCGCGTGAAACCGACGTACTGATAAGCCGGAATAGGTATTTAAAAAGGGAAATATCGAAGATAAATATTTTAACACGGCACGTGAACGACGAATATGCACTTCCAGCGAGTATTTTATACCCTTTCACTAGCCGATCGATAATTATTTCTACAACCGCGGAGCGCCCGTGAGAAATGAACCGCTGCCGACTGCAGCGACGGTAATTTCATGGTAAAAGACGGCCGTCATTAGGTATCGGCTTCACTGACAATAATCAAGCGCTAATAAATGCGAGTCGGCCGGTTCCATTGTCATTCGTCGGGTATATACTCTGTCAAGAGTTAAATAAAGCCGTCCGGGCTCGGAAAGCGGACGAATCGATGTTACGGGCCCGACTGCTTATTATTCCGGGGATTATTCTTCCCATCTCGCAGGATGCACGGAATTACCACCTACCGCCTATACGGTAACAGCGACTCTCCGCGATTCAGCGCGCTTTACAGCGGCCTAATTAAAACGTTACGCCAATTATGCAAATCAAATCGAAAACGGCGCTACCGTGGCGGCAGTTGGACCGGCGCGGCGAGAATTGGCGAACGAAAGGGACGCGCGAGAAAGAGATGGAGCGACCGGCAGATAAGGGAGAGCGAGAGAGAGGGGGCGACGTCGGTGCAGAAGAGGCGCCGTTTATTGCACCTTGAAGACTCCTCTCCCCGAATCACGACTAAACGATCGCCTTAAATTAAACACCGGAGACTGCGGTAAGCAAATCGAATTGTTCCCAAGTTAAATAGCGAGTCAAGAAATTAATACAGAAACCAATCGACCGATTATACACATATTTACATATTTACATTTTTCACTATTTCCCCCTCTATATTTTCCCTACGTCCGGAAGCATTACATATTTTTATTCTGCATTTCAAAGAGTTCTTCCCATACTAAGAGAAAAAAAAAATGTAAACGGCAACGTAGGCATTTAGAAAAATCTTCTTTATCGACGTCGATCAAGTTCCTCGACGTATTTCACTTCACCTTAAATCAACGATGTCATTTTTCTCCTCGACGAAATAATTGTTCCTTGCAACCGTATACGTATCCGGTAACAATATGTATTTGTTTCGGTCTACTGATCTATTTTCTCGGGGTACGTTTCAGATCACAATTAAATGCAATGTCAAATGCATTTATAAATAAGACTCCCCTCTCCATGGGAAATCGGGAAAGGAACGAATCTAGGAGAGGAAGAAAGAGAGACGGAAGGACTTCGTACGAGACGAAGCACCGGCGAATCGTAATTTCCCTCGTGCACGCGAGGTGCTCTGCACTTCCGGTCTCGTGACCCGTGCACGGGGCTCGAGTCGGCGGCAACAATGACGAATGACGTCCGATTCCACGGGGACTCCCACGAAATCGGCCAATGGATGTCCCCTCGTACCCCGCTCCGGTTTTTCCAACAGACAAGGAAAAAATAAACGGCTCGAAGAAACGGAGAGAGAGAGAGAGAAAAAAAAACCGAAAGAAAAGGAAGAAATTCCATTAGCGTGGGCTCTCTTTCCACGGTGCTCGGGGCTTTACGAGATAAGTATTAAAGGTTGAAACGGCACGTTACCTAAGCGGATATGATTTTACGCGACAGAACCCGGGAGCACTGTGTATGCGGTGAAATGCATACGTGAAACCTCGCCAGTGACGGCACGACAACGGCCGCACTGCGGGGGAGGCGACGCGACACGTGTAAAACGCGTGTAAGTAAACTTAACTGCGGAACGCGGCCGTAAGCTGCGCGTAAAACTCGGGCGATTGGGTGGACAAGTCCTCCCGGCCGATCCGCAGCAGAACCTCCGCCGGTGCCTAACGCCACAATCGACCTCTTCCCGCCGAGACGCGCGCAGGACCGGAAGTAACTCCAGGAGTGAATGTTGACTCAAGGAAAAAATATACAATGCGAGGACAAAATCCTGCACGGAAATACGCCCAAAGAAACGTCAGATTGAGTGAACAAGAAAATTGTGAAAAGTCAACGGCAATTAGTTGAAGTCAACGTCAATTGTCTCTTTTTTTCTCTCTCAACGAAATCATCGTTTCTTGCACTTATATGTGACTCGATATGTACGTCAATAATATATATTTCTTTTGAATTGAAATTTTGCCCCTCAGCAAAACTTCATTGGCATTGCCCTCCATTAGGATGCAATTTTTATTTCCGTCCTTTTTTTAATTTTTTTTTTTTTTCCGTGCGGGGATCGAGGAGTCGGGAAAAGTGAGCAGTCGATCGCAGGTGACACCGAAAGTACCTCGCGACCCACAGTCGGCCTGTGTCCGCAATTCGTTGGTGGTCGTTAAACCCGGAATTTGCGTCGGTGTGTAAACGGGATATGGCAAGGATGCCTGACCTGGCCCAACGCGGCCTGCTATCGATTCCTGCTGCCAGTGGCGGCCTCGTTGCAACCCGGCCCCCAAACACCCTCGCACCCCCCGGACACCCCTGCACCCCCGGAACTGCACATCGCCGTGTCGCGGACACTCCGTGTGCACCCTGCCTCCGCACAAAGGGCACACACCCCCGGGGGTGCTCGCCATTGTGCAGGGAGCCTTACTAACCGATAAAGTGGCCGAGGTTCGGGACGTCCCAACGAGTTCCACATTTTCCCCCTTGGCGTGTCTTACGGCGTTTGTTACGAGTGACCGGGCGATATCTCGAAATACTCGAAGAACCAGACGGAAATGTTCCTGGATGGACAATGTTAATATGACGAAACGTTACCACTACGTGGAATTAATTAATGCATTTCTGAGAACGTCTCGGCGGGACGTCACATACAGAGAGGATGTCAAGGATTAATATTTAAAAATCTCCATTCAGAGGTCATGAAAGTATCTGTCGCGTGATGCGACGTTCAAAGTTGGTCTTGATTTTGATCCTTAAAAAAACAATGAACAAAAGAAAAACTACAGTAAGTATAGGAAGATCCCGCACTGGGGGAAAAAAAGAGGAATATCATTGAACCAAAGAATCATTTTTTTGAACAGTGCTAAAGAAATATTTTGTTAGTTTAAAGTGTAATTATTTGACTCAAACTGGAATAAACTGGATGCTACGTTTATTCGGAATCAAGGCCATTTATGTGAGTTAAATAATTATTCTTGGTATAAATAAAATATTTCTTTGGTTCACTGCAATTTCTTTTTTACATGCAACAGCGTTAGTCCCGATCCCGCGTTTGTTCGTCCCAAAAGTTAATCCAGATCAGGCCCACTTGTTTCCCTCGCAGGGAAATTCCGTCGCGGAATCGCGCGCCCCGCTGAGCAAAAACCGATTAGTATACTAAAACAAATACATACTGCCGACATATCTATCGTTGCCTGAATCATATATGCAAGAAGCAAAGCTAAACGAATTTTGTTTAACCCAGTCTCATGTTTGAGTGTACTCGATTTTGCTGCCGCAATGCACATTTCCTCGAGTGAACCAAGTTTTTTCGTTTTTCTTTTTTTTTTTTCTCCTCTCAGTGCAGAGTCGAAGGCGCGGATAAACCTGCGAGAGAGACGCTGGACCGTTCTCTTTCGCTCCCCCTGGAGCGCGCATGCGCGTCTCACTCGCTCGGTCGCGCCCTCTACCCACGGACCCCTTTGTCTCCCTCCCTCTCCGCCTTTCTCGACTTTCCATCTCGCTCTTTCCCGCAGGTACCCCGTAGGTCCGTCCTGCTCCGGGAGGCCGGAGGTTCGCCAGTCGATGGGCGGCGGTGGGTGGCGACGCCATAAGAGGAGGGTGGCTTACAAAGAGCGCTCCGAACTCGGCTTGCGGCGTCGGGTGACCCATCTACACCTACGTATCCAGCGTCGCGACGCCTTCTATAGACCCCGTCGGGGCGAGGTAACCGTTTTGCATCCGCAGCTCGCGGCGGGCTCGTTGTGCTTTCCCCGGAAGAAATTGCGCGAACGCCGGTCGCCTAATGGATTTACATTGTCGCCGGCCCTGGCTAATTGCACGGCAGCCTTTCCGACCGCTCGATACGGCACACTATTACCTGCTAATTACTATTCCCGCAAGGCGCACCTGGACCCCGACTTATCGGAGTTCACCTTTGAGGCGGGCTGCATCCGGGAATTCGATTTCGAAAACCCGCAATTTCGAATTCCCCAGCGAACTCTCTCTCCTGGACTGATATTTTAGCGACGCCAATTTTCCGGGGTTTGCGCGACACGGGTATAACGCGGAAGTTGGCTTCCCCGGGATCGGAAATGGGAAATATTCCGCGGTGTTGATTGACTCGGTTATTGAAGAAAGTTTTTCCAAATTTTTCGCATTTCTTTTTTTTTTTCAGGATTTTCAGGGATTTTTACGTATTTTTATGGAGGGGAATATCGAGGGGGGGAGAAAGTACATTTCTGGGGGAAAATCTACCTTTCCCGCGAATGCCCACGACATATCAGTCTGTCGGCGACCGGGAAAATCGCGACCACCTCCACTCGTTACCGTAAGCTCGACTAGCTCGAACGAGGGTTATAACTTCAAGGATTACGTTCAAGTGGCCTCGTTACGATGCCTTAACCCTTGTTAAGAGGTGTTTAAAGACTCCGGGACAAACCGTTTATCCCGATCGGAAAATCGTTGCAAGGTGTCGCGACATTGTTAATCTGGAAATTATTTCTCTCAAACGTCACTTCGGAACCGTCGAACGTTTTATCGGATATTGTTTTAGGATAGCTCGTAAAACGAATTTTCGAGTAAACTTAATTAATGCCGGGTCCGTGAATTTCCTGTGGTTATTTTTAATGGCGACGTCGAGTGAAACATGCACTGGAGAAAATAGTTCAACGAACCAAAGAAATGTTTTGTCAATTCGAATATGTTGTCATAAATCCGAAGAAAGGTTGCATCCGATTCATTGGAATTTATTTTAGTGATATGATCATTTTTCGAATTAACGAGAATACTTCTCTTGTTCGATGACATTTTTTCCTTTTCTCCGTGGGGAATTCCGCGGTGAATTTCTGGAGGGAAAATTGTGGAACGGAAATGTTCCCCGATTCCAGTTTCTTCCCAGTTTCTCCCCTCCGTCGAATGACCGATCTTCGATCCCCGTTTCCGGAAGTGAACGTCGGCAATAATCGCGATCACTTCCGCTCGCATGCCATGGCCGAGTTCCAGGACGCGTTCCGGACTTCGAGAAGAATAACGAACGAATTTCATCCGGACTCTTTCGGGGTCGAATCTCCCTACAGTGGCCCTCGGTTTTGCCAAACGAGCTGCCCATTGTCATGTAACGTATGACGCTTGACAAACTGCTCCGAAATCGCCGTCCCCTCTCAATTTGTCGGTCAATCCACTCGACTTAAAACCATTCGCGATTTTCCTCCGTCTGGAAAATCAGGAATGCTGGAAACCTCAACGAGCCAAAAGCCTTAACATTGTTACATAAATTCGGGAAGAATTTTTCCGAATTTCCTGCGAGGATAACTTCTAGCTTAAATAAAAGAGAAGGCAGTTAACACCCCGAGGGAAATCTCACCGAACTACAAAAATATTTCTCCGAATGGTAGCAAAGAAATATTCTTGTAAATTCAAAGAATAATTATTTGACTGAAATTCGAATAAATTGGATATAACGTTTCTTCGGAATTACGACGATTTATTTGAGACCGATAACTGATCTTCGAATTAACAAAATATTTCTCTGGTTTGATGCATTTCATCTTCTCAATATAGTCGATCTTAACGAGGATTAATGCGTATTAACTCGTTTTAAGGGGGAAAAAAAAAGTATTTGGACCTCTACAAATTTTTCCTGGGAACTCGTGGAGAGACTCAATAAATTCGATCTTTCCGATCCAGGAGGCAAAAGTGCTGGAGGACGCGAAACGGAACCACCAAATGCGCACCGGAAGATCCGCAGCAAATGAACCGACCGCGAATCGTATATTCACAGAGGAATTTCTCCGTCTTGAGACTCGGGACGAGAAATCCCGCCCTTTCTTTTTCCGCCCGCGGGATCGTTCAGGGGACACTCCCGATTAACTATTAACAGCCGGAGGGAAACACTTTTACGAGAGCAGCCGATGCAGCTGCACTTTCCGACTGCACCGCTGGACCGAGGAAACTTCTCCGAGGATTGCTTCTCGCAATATTTTGCCGAAATCGAGATGTTAATAAAGAATAAAAATAGTATACTATCTCGAATGACCAAGCCATAATAAAAAGACGTCTCACGGACATGCCTCGTGAAGGAGTAATTATTGATAATAATCGTTCATATTTATTTTCCGTGAAATTCACTCGTGAAGAATTAATCATTAATAAGCATCATTAATGTCTATCATGGACTTTACTCGCGAAGTAGTAGTTATTAACAATCCTCGTTCACGTTAATTCATCATGGATTTGAGTCGTGAAGAATAATCGACATTTATGTAAGTTTTTCAAGATCTCACCGCTTAGGGTATTGGAAAAATCGAAAGTTCTTCTTCTTAATCAGAGCTTCGAGAAATCAGAAACTGGGATGATAATCATTGATATGATTTTTTTGTTCTTACTCACCGATTCCAAGCTCAGGCCAAGTTTCCACGACCGACCAGGCGATGCCGGACGCGTTCCTCTTCACTTTGAGGATCTCGCAGAGGTCTATGGTGCGAAGATTCCTCTCCACGATGACGGTGGTCCAGGAGAGGTCGTCGTTGTAGAAGCGAAGCTCCTCCTAAGAAGTGAATTTCCGGATGAGAAATAGTCTTATGACCCCAAGTGGCTTTGAATCGCGTTTAATAAAGGCATTTCGCGCGTCGTTTCCTTTCCGATCTCCTCGATTGACAGAGGTGAGTCCAATTAAAGGAGGGCATTTTTATTCGCCATGGAATACGTAACCGGGAGAAATTTAATTAACCTCCGGCTCACGAATCACAAGGCTCGGTACCGCACCGGTAATTATACACGGAAATAATCGGCAACCGCGTAATTAATTAAATCCCTTGTTCGCGATTTACGAGCTCGAACGTGTAATCAGGTGATAGCGATCTCTCCCGAGTTGGGGTATGATTGAGACTTGAGAGACTTGGAAGGAGTCGAATAGTGCAAATTATTTTTTTTTTTATGTTTTTTGTGTAACAAAAAGAAATGAAGGTCCGCCCTCACCTGCCTCTCGCTGTCCAGGGCCTCTTCCTCGAGGTGTCCTCGACGTCTGACCCTCTGCATCATGGACCCCAGCTCGAAGATCGTGGGACCGGAACTGAGTCGCTCGTAGCTGCCGGCACGTCCGGAGCGGTTTCCGGGCGCGTTGTTTCCGGTATCAAGGCAGGAGCACATCTTCGGGAACCAATCTGAAATCGAATCATCGACTCGAATCAATACCTATGTCCCGTCACTCCGGCCAGCACCTTGGCAAGAACTCGGAAAGGAAAAATACAGGAACCATGCACCCCAAAAATGCACATTTTCATATTCCGCCCCATTTTTACGGTGCACTTTATCAAGGGAATGCAGGTGATTTCGAAGGTGGCTTTGTTGCTGCCAAGTATCCCATTTTTACGATTGCATTATTAAGGGGGTACGAAAGTGGCATCTGAGAGTTCAATCGTTCATGAAACATTTCTCCGGATGTCCCGAGTCGTTTCAAACTTTACAACGTGAATATGGCGGCCATGTTTAAATATTGACACCCATGAAATTTCATTTTTTATGAAAAATATTAAGAATGTCCATAAAGAAATTAAAAAAAAATTGAAATTTCATGGTTGACAGGACCTTTCTTATAGCCTTTACTGTCACGTTGAAAAGTTTGAAACGATTCGGTGCATCCGGTTCGGTGAAAAGTTGTAAGGAGTAAGCCAGACCTCTTTGACGGCACTTTCACATCGCCTTAAGATCGGCCGATTTTGAAGGTGGCTTTGCCAAATATCGCGACGATTTTCACGGCGGAGCGGAAACGTGGAGATACCGGAAGTTGCTTTCGCAACCGAGATGAATGATCGCGGGTTTGGAGAGGGTCGGTCCTGAGAATTCTCACGGGTGCCCCGGGGTCACCGGCCGCGCCGGTGTGACCGGGGCTTTAGAAGTGCGGATTACGCCTTAATAACGCCTCGTCTGCGCCGTATCCGGACCGCATACCGTCCTCGGTTCTTAAAGGCCGTGAAATTCATCCCATAAGTCGTCTATCGTTCCTAACACACCGGCAACGTCGTCTTCGACGGCCCCCGTAGGGCGTCGCGGCGTCTCCGAAGACTTCCGGTCAAGATGGCGGAATCAGTGCCAAACGCGATCCGATCTCGCTGGCCGTGGGATTTTTGCCGACTCGGCGAAAGCTCTCGATTTTTATCAGCAACAAAAAATAGGAATTCCTCGAGTACCCTTCTCGGGAATTATCGCCTTCCTCTGTCACCCGGAAATCGACGGCAAAAATCGCTCTGATGGAAACTGTTTCAAGGGCCTTCATCATCCTTGAAAAGGGAAGTCGGCTCTCGAAAGTGGATGAGTCTTCTCCCTTTGCATGTAACAATAGCCCCAGAAAGACAAGTGGCGTTTTTAAATTTGAGTGAACATTTTTGGTCGCTTTTTTATTCATCTTCTGTATTGAGGTGTGAACAATAGATCGCTCGAAATGAATCGCATCGCAGGTTTCCCGCCGCCGACCTGGTGCTGACCTCTTCCCTGCTAATGGCTTTTCAAATTGAAGTGAACAACTTTAGTCGCATTTTTTATTTATTTTTTTTTACTTTTTATATCGAGGCGTGAACTAAAGATCGCTCGAAACGGTTCGAGAGAAAAAAGAATTGCGTCGCGATTTCTCCCTGGCAAGTCGACTTGGCGCCGACTTGTGACTCTCCCCTGCTGACGGAAGCGATTATAAATCGCAGTGAACATTTTCAGTCGCATCTTTTTGTGAAATTCTTTCGGATTGAGGTGTTAACTAGAGATCGCTCGAAACGGCTCGAAACAAATCGCGTCGCGAGTTTCGCGCCGGTAAGCCGAGTTGGCGCCGACCTGTGGCTCTCCTCTGCAAACTGAGAGCAGTTCCTCTCGATTTGCTCGTGTTTGTTTAGCGGATTCTCGGGCCGCTTCTATTTCAGGCCAACCTGTTTCCCTTGCGACTCGCACTCGGGTGCGTAAGCGCACGCGCGCGTGCGCACAAGAGGACGGTGCCTTACCGACGCCCAGGGACGCCGGCGCCCTCCACTTAATTTATTTACCGAGAAAATCGACAACGATCTAAGAGACTCGAAAATCAGGAACCTGAGGACGGTTCGATCGCTACGAAGGGGGAAAAAAAAACAATAAAAATACGAAAACGAGAGGAGCTTTCTCAATTCTGGGTAGACCGAAAGGGGGAGAAAAGTGAGTCAAAGGAAATACCGGAACGTCGCGAGGAAATTCTGAGAATTATCGATATATCATTCATATCTTATCGATAATCCACCTCGGCACCATAATCGTCCTTGACATGGATTACCAGTTGATATCAATTCGTTATCAGAGAATCCGCAGACGTATCGCGTTTCAATTGCTCTATCCTCCCTTGCGCTATCTGACATTACCTTGATTATGGAGATAACTAAAAATAAAAAGGACTTCTGGAAAAAGGAGAAACACTTCCCTGCGGCCCCGCCTGGTGTCAGGGACGCGCGTCCCTCGGCGAAACGCGGCGGATTAATAGAACGCACTTAATGTTTATTACGGGCCATTTACGGAGGCGCGACGGCCGCGAGAGGCGCATGTAAATCCGCGATACGTATGCTAATTTCACGGGCGAACGAGCTCCCTCGGTCGCCACGTCGGCGATGGGGAAAGGACTTATCGGCAGGAAGCAAAAGTCGGCCATTAGTGCTCATCGGAGCTCCTCGAAACGCCCTCGCGCTCCCACCCACCGCGTTCCCTCAGGAGCCTCTTCCCTTTTCCACCAGAAAATAGAGGCAATCGAGAAAAAAAAAAAGAAGAAAAGGCTTACCCCCCGACTCGTCCCAATCGTCATATGAATCGTAAATATGAATTGCGAGGCCACATGGACCGACCATAAAAATCCATCGTGGAACTCCATCTTTTTTTTCAACTTTTGAGCCTGGTCTAATTTCGAGAATTTCCTACTTTCGAGTACGTTGTTTAATTTCGGGAGGCATCTCGACCGTAAAAATGGATTCCGCGGCCCAGAACGATCTCGAAGGGGCTCTGTAAATGCAAAGCGAACGAGCGCGACGTCCTCTCGTGGGGAAGGAACGCCTCTCTTCTCTCTCGCACTCCCGGCGGCCCCGCTAGCGCTCTTTCTCTCGCACTCACGCGGAGCGCTCCCGTGCGGCGATGCCCGAAAAGCGCGCGCTTTCTACGAGGGGCTCCCCCCCGTGCATTATATCCGCCGGCTCGTAAAAATTTAGCACCGATAATTGCTGGATACGTGACCCGTACGCTGCCCCCCTCCCACGTCCCCCTTAATTTTCAGCAATTTTCGAGACTCGTACCCCGCCGATCGGCGTTGCCAACTGGAAAACCTGCGATCGAGGAGGCCGAGATCGCGCCATTGTGGATTTCGAGGGTGCCCTTCGATCGGATCTACGACCGAATTTTGGACAAGGAACGATTAAATTATTTAACAATTGGCCGGGAATAGACCTCGGGTGGGAACGGGTCAACTAGATTTCATCGATGCGCGATGGTCGACCGAGTGGCTAAATAATCGATCTCGATGTCGATTGCAAAATGGGAGAAATGACCGCGGCAAAGGCGGAAGTGGTACGTACATCCGATGAAGACGGCTTTCGAAGCATCGCCGATGGAAAGAGCATGCGGAGAGGCGACAGCGGCTGTCAGAATTTAATTGGACAAGTCGGTTGGACGGAATGGATCGTTACAATGCGAAAGGAAACCCACCACACCTCTGAACACCTATTGGTTAAACCTATCCATAGTTCTAGGTAAAACTAGTGTATCGCTCACCCAAAGGTTCCCTCCACCGACGACGAGTACATAAATCAATTATTCGAGCCCTCAATTTCCTACATTATCGAGATTAATTTCCTTCCGACATTTATTACCTCGTAATTAAGCCTCCCATCAGACCTCTATTCCTATTTACTCCAATCTATTTAAAAAAAAAAAATGCATTGAAGAAACATTACATCCAATTTATTCCAGTTCACTTGAATCAAATAATTACCCATTGGATTAACGAAATATTTCTTTGGTTCAATGACATTTTTTGTTCTCAGGGTGTGTTAAGACCATTTTTGGAAATTCCTTGCCATCACCTTTTTTCCCACATTTTGGAGCTACCTCCTCTTTTGAACCGAGGGGTTATTCACTCAGGAAATCATGGATCATTGTCACAATTTTAAGGCCGAACACTTGATACCGAAACGCCGTTTATCACATGAAATCAAAGGAAATCCTTTTCACTGATTTCCGAGCGAATCCCTCGCCTCGGACTTTTGTCACCTTTTAGTCTAAACTTCCAATAAGAGATGACAATTAGAGCATGCCTCTTTAGCTGAGGGACAAAATGGCCCGTTCAACCCGCGAAGACCGAGGTGTTTACACCGTGGGCTCAGCACGCGACCCGACGACGCGCGCCCAAAATAATTGCAGCCTCGCAGCGCTCTTGCATGGAGGGTCCGACTTTTCGACGCACCTCGACAGCGTCCTGCATTACCGACGTTCTGTCGCGCCTATTTAAGCGCTCGAGCCGGCCAAAACGAGGAATCCGCGTGCTCGAGGACGCTCTTTTTTCAATTCGCTTTCTCTTCGTCGGCTCGACTCGGTTATTTGAGAATTAGCCCGTGCCAACGAGGCGCGAATAGCCAGCGAAAATTTACGCTCGACTCGAACGTTACTCTCCCCGTCGAATCATAATAATATGAAAATATCGAGCATGGTTCTCTCGTGATGGCTAATACACCCACTACGACTTAAGGTGAAGTGAAACACGTCGAGGAACTTGATCAACGTCGATAAAGAAGATTTTTCTACATGCTCATGTTCCCGACGATCGTTTTTATATCGACAACTGGGTCGAATTATATTGGGTATTGTACCAAATGGCATACTCCACCTGTCGTTTTCGTACGATAATTATAAAGAAATCGAAGTAAAACTCCAGAAATTCTCTGGATTCGTGCTTTCTGGGGCCCTAATTGACTGCAGAGGAACCCCCTGCGCCATCTGTGATTTCCAGGTCAATTAAATTTATCACTCCGAGACCTCGGATTCCCATCGTTTTAGCATAGAAGCGCATACAACACTTTTTTTGCCTTTATCCCGTTCAAATACGAGTTTATCGATTACCAGAGTGTTCTAAATTGTCGTAAAATTGTCCTGACCCTTTCGATTCTCATATCAG